CAATTTGTATAAACAATTTCTTTAAAAACTGACTTTAAATAAAAGTTGATAATTCCATCGGTTTCTACGAAAAAAATACGTAAGAATCATGCATGGCAAAACAATTTTTGAAGAAGTTGTGTAAACAAATTATTTACAAACATTTAATTTAATAATGAAATTTATTTTTATTTATTTATTTGTAAGTGTTTATTTAGGTATTTATTTATTTAGCTACCTTATTTATTGATTTATTTCATTTACTTATTTATTAATATGAAAAATTAGAATAAAATTGTAATCGGGAGAATGTATGTGAAGTGAGCGCGAAGAGGCACGCTACGCTCCTGCGTACTCCGGCTAAACGCGCTCTGATTGATTAACTTTATTCGTTAATAACTCTGTAAATAATGATCTGAGCCAAAATTGAAAGAGGAACTTTTAGTTCAAAATTTCATTCTCTTTCACGCCTTAAAATATTAATTAAGCGTTACGGGACACCCTGTATATTTATACATATCGGTTGAAAAATGTTTTTTCATTTATGACAAAACATAATCATTTCCACACCACCTTGCGGTATATACATAGACTTATAAGAAGCATACAAAAATATTCTTTGCACCAGGTGCAACTATAGTATACTATATAGCATTTAACGCATATACAGCTATCTTCTCCATGATTTCATAATCTTTTTAAATATGCCTGACTCAAGAGTGGATATATTGAAGAACGACAGCTATATTTCGAAAATCCTGTAAACTTTTGTTTTTCTGGAAAGGATATTCAAGAAATACCATTCTGTTCCACATGTGGTGCACCTGCTATAATACGTTGCGCCTGGTGCAAAGAATATTTTTGTATGCAGCATTTCTTTGAAGAATATCATAATTGGAAACATTTTGTTATATAGGAATTATATAAGTATTAATATAGTAAGATCAACTAGTTTTAAATATTTCTGATAAGTATATTATTGCTAATATTAAAAATAAATATTTAAAATAAATATTTATAATAAATGTGCTTATACATTACAGGAAACGTCGAAATATATGGCGTGATAGCTCATCTTGATAACATGGAAATATCAAAATTGATGCAAATGCAAATGCTATCACATGGAATAACTGTCCTTTATTCGTAACAATTATAATTTGTTATCATAAACTGTTATATATAAAC